CCAACTCCTCAATTGATGGACCTTAAGGAGTGGAAGCCCAAACTGTTGAGAATCAACAGAATGAGCAACCTCCTACTGTTGTTCCTGTCAAGAAGAGGAAACAGGTTGATTCCAGATCACCAGTGTGGGATCATTTTGAGAAGATAAAGGACAGTAATAATGTGGTTGTAAAAGGCAAATGCATTTATTGTGCAAAAATTTATCACTGTGAGACAAAAAAACATGGGACTTCTTCCTTAAGAAATCACATGTTTAGCTGTTTGAAAAATCCTCACTCCAAGGAAACTAGGTAGTCCCTGTTAACATTTCAGGCTGTTACATCACTTACAGATGGTCAGCCTACTGTGGGAGAAATAAGGACCTGGGTATTTAATCAAGAGTCAATTAGGAGGGCCTTGGTTGAAATGATAATCATAGATGAATTGCCCTTTAGATTTGTGGAGGGAATAGGTTTTAGGAGGTTCATAGCTATTGCTTGCCCTAGGTTTATAGTCCCATCCAGGTGGACTATAAGTAGGGACATCCTAGTTGTCTATGAAGAGGAGAGGCTAAAATTGAAGTCATTTTTAAGGGGAAGCAGTCATAGGGTTAGTATCACTACAGATTCTTGGACATCCATCCAAAGAATTAACTACATGGTAGTAACTGCCCATTTCATTGATTCTGAGTGGAAGCTTCATAAGAAAATCCTTGCATTTGTCCCTGTTACCTCTCACAAAGGTGAATATCTAGCCAAAGCCCTAGAAAATTGTTTGCTAGAGTGGGGGCTTAGAGATGTGTTTTCTGTGACTGTTGATAATGCATCATCAAATGACACTGCTATGGGGTTTCTGAAGAAAAAATTGGTGTCTTGGGGATCATCTACTGTGAGGGAAAAGTATCTTCACATGAGATGTATTGCCTATATCTTAAACTTAGTAGTTCAAGATGGTCTGAAAGATTGTGATAGTTCTGTTAAGAAGGTTAGGGAGGTGGTTAGATATGTTACAAACTCTCCTGCTAGACTTAAGAATTTCAGGGATTTGGCTGATTGGTTGAGTATTGAACAAAGGTATTCTTTGTGTTTAGATGTTCCAACCAGATGGAACTCTACCTATTTGATGTTGCAGTCTGCTTTAACTTACCAAAAAGTGTTTGAATCTTTGGAGTCAGATTGTTCTTTCAAGTCTGATTTGGGTAATTCAATTCCTGATTTTATGGATTGGGAATCTGTTGGCAGTTTGGTTCAGTTACTGAAGTGTTTTATGACATGACCATTAGAATTTATGGTTCTTTATATGTCACCTCAAACACATTCTTTATTGAGATTTCTGATCTGTACTGCCTATTGAAAGGCATGGTGGAAGTTGGTGGGCCAGTTGGTGTGATGGGGAAAAATATGAAGGCAAAATTTGAGAAGTATTGGGGTAATGTTGAAAAAATAAATCTAATGATATTTTTTGCAAACATTCTAGACCCTAGAGACAAGTTAGAGTATATGCCTACTCAGTTTAATCATGTGTATGGTGAGGAAAAGGTAAACCATTCTATGAGAAAGTAGTTGCTGCTCTTGCTGAGTTATTTGATGATTATTCTACATCTGCCTCTTCTTCTGTCCCTTCTGTGCTTGTCCCTTCTGTGCTTGTGTCTGTTCAGGCTACATCTGCCTCTTCTGTTTCTGTTGGGAAGCCACAACATTTTCTGAAGTCCCAATTAAAAAGCAAAGATTGGAGTCTGGGGGTAAGAAACAAACTGAGTTGGATATGTACTTGAGTGAGGGAATAGTTGAAGAGGAAGAATCTTTTGATATACTTGGATGGTGGAAGATCAACTCTGCTAGGTTTCAGTTATGTCTAAGCTTGCTAGGGATGTCCTAGCCATTCCAATCTCCACTGTTGCCTCAGAATCTGCCTTCAGTACTTCTGGGAGAGTATTGGATCCTTTTAGGAGTTCTTTAACTCCAAAAATTGTGGAAGCATTGGTGTGTACACAAGATTGGCTTAGAATGCAAAATACTCCTTTATGTATTGAGGAGAATCTGGAAGAGTTGGAGAGGTTTGAAAAATGTATGCCTTTTAAGTTTTAACTTTATACTCCTTTATACTTATATTTTGAATTACTTAAATTGATAATACACTTAACTTTTGTTGTTTATTTTGCAGAGTTAAGTGGTGATGGTGGAAGTGGGAGGTCTCTTGGTTCTACACTTGCTACAATTCCTGTAATGTTATTATTTACATTACTTGATTTACTTACTTGATTTTATTGCAATCTTTTACAGTATTTGACTGTTTATCTAAATTGCAATCTAATCTCACTTGATATTTTTTGAGCCCACTGTGTTTGACTCAATTACACTGGACATCTGTAACTCTGTAAGTATGAAGGCCTGGTAACTTGTACTAAGTTGTTGCCTCAAGTACCTTGGGCATTTGGTTGGTAATGTATGAACTATTTTATTCTGTCTGTTAACTTTAAGTTGGCATTTGGCAATGATGAAGCTTCCACCTTTAATCTGAAAAGGAAATGATTAAGTTGGTCAGTTGCTCTATACTTAAGTTATATTGAAGCAATATGCCCTTAATCCAAATGATATGGAAAAAATGCTTACTGAGCCAAAATTTATATAATCCCTTCTCTGTTTTTCATTTTCTAATGCTTGCTCAGTTGCTTACTTGCTTGTGTAGTACTAATTATTTACACTAACTTGTCACAATTCACAGGAAGAAGAGTAGGTCTAATTGTCTGAATTCTAAAAGTCTAGGAGTTGAGTAGTTGACACTTGCACTTGCTGAGTTGCTGATTTTGCTGAATTTGTATTTTATGGTGCTTCAGTTTGCTAAATTTGTATTTTGTAAATTTGTTACTTCTTACTTCTTAGTTCCTTTACAGTTGTGTATGTACTCCTGTAGAGTTTTGGTCTGTAACAGTTCTTACTTCTTAGAATCTTAGTTATTTACTTTTGTAGTTTTGTTGGAGTCTTAGACACTTAAGAGTTAAGACTCTTAATGTTAGTTAATAGACTACTTAGTAATACTAATTACTAGTTAGTAACTTAGTATTACAGGTATTAGTCTATTACACTATCATTCTATCAATTATATACTTATTCAATATTTCAGACTTTCAATTAGTTATTATTTTGCTTTTGATTTTAATTTTTGAATTTTTTATTTGATTTGTACATTTTCTAATATCCGAAATAATGTCGGATATCCGACCGATCCGATCCAATCCGAACAACGTTATAACCGATCGGATAAGTCAACAACTTTAAACGGATAGGGTAGTCAAAGTACATATCCGAAATCTGATCGGAGGACCCTTACCGTCATCCGATCCGTCCGAACCGTCCGAATGCACAATCCTAGACAACCTATTGGACATATATGCTAAATTCATATCTGCAAAGGAGATATGGGATATGCTCAAAAAGAAGTATGGAGCTGATGATGATGGTAGGAGGAAGTATACCGTTGGGCGCTGGCTCAACTACAGGATGGTGGATACGAAACCAATTATCGAACAAGTGCACAAATATGAGAACCTGGTGTCAGACCTTGAAGCCGAACTAATTCCGGTAAGTGTAATGCTTCAAACCTATGCCTTACTTGATAAGCTGCCAGAATCCTGGGGTGAGTTTCAAAACAAAGTGAAACATGACTCCAAGGATTACACATGGGAAGAGATGGTCAACCACATCAACATAGAAGATGCCTATCGCCAAAGGTCTGTTCCAAATTCTGGTAATTTAAAAGCTAACATAGTTGAATCCAGTACTGTTAAAAGTGATAGGTCCAAAACTGGGAATGGTGGACAAAACAAAGGCTGGAAAAGGGGATTCAAAGTGAACAATGGCAACAAGTTCAAGAACAATAAGAACCAGAAACAAGGCAAAGCAGGAGCCTGCTACGTCTGTGGCAAACTTGGGCATCGTGCAGCTCAATACTATCACCGGAAGGGGGAAAACAACCAGAGGTCCATTCAACATGAAAACAAGCAGCAAGCAAACCTAGTGGAAGAGACTGAAGTTGTAGCAGCGGTTAAGACGCTGGAAGCAAACGTAGTGACCGGTACCGAAGAATGGATCATTGACACTTGATATATATAGTATATACGGGTTAAAGTATGTATACGGACAAGGGCTGAAGCTCGGGTTCCTAACAGTGGGTCGGGAAGCTCCAGTTCAACCTAATGCCAAAAATCCCCTCTCAGATGCATTTAATGCGCCTTATATAGAGGGAAAAAGGAGGAACTCGGGTTTTCGGCATAGCTGGCACGTGGCGGGCATGCACCGGCTACGGGCGGGGCCAGATGCCTGGTCGCCACGTGGCGATTAAAGCCTGAGACCTCCAGATGCTTTGGGCTTACAGCCCGATCGGGTCCGACCGACGAGTCCGAGGGAATCGGTCTGTCCCTTAGCGATCATGTTCTATACAAGGGGCACGGTCGGGACGGCCGCCTCCAGGACGGTCGGTTGGCCAACAGCTAGACCGGTCGGGCGGTGGCTCGAGGGTGTTGAAGGACGGACGGCCCGATCGTTAGCTTTGGGATACGTGGCGCTCGGTCGCTCACCGGCCCGGTCGTCACCGGCCGTATGGCACGCCTACCGGGGATATATCCCTACCAACACTGGAGCAACTCGCCATTTCTGCGCGAGTAGGATAATGTTTAAAGGGTTCCAAGCCTTCACTCAAGGACAATGAGAGCAAGTCTATATGGGAAACGATAGTACTGCTGAGGTAAGAGGTGTAGGAACCGTAGAGATAAAACTCAATTCCACAAAGTATCTGTTTTTGTCTAATGTGTTGTATGTCCCCACCCTACGAAGAAATTTGATCTTGGGACCTTTGTTGGTAAGGGCCGAGATCAAACTTGTGTTTGAGTCTGAGCGTATGATCATGACTCGTAGGGAGGAGTATTTAGGGAAAACTTACTTACGTGGGGGCGGTCCGCTATAGTATTTTTCAAAATTAAAATATAATTGAAAATTTAACGTCTCACCAATACGGGATAGAATCTATCAAATTTGGCCATAGATTGCCATAACTGTTTGACTTCGGTTCACTTCCCGCACTGTCTCCATGCCAAGAACTAACGGTCAAATACACTCTGACACTCGAGAAATAACAGCATTTGACCGTTCCTTTCATGCCTTGTCTGAACCCTACACGGAGCTCATCGGAAAATATACTGACGGACGAGCTCTGAGATTAGGCAAAGTGTTACACGCGCACCTCATCATCAATGGGTTGGCTCGTCGAACCCACTTTGCCTCCAAGTTAATTGCTTTCTACGCAGAATGCAAGCAATTAGCCGGTGCACGTAAACTGTTCGACGGAATTCCAAAAACAAATGTCCGTCGTTGGATTGTCTTGGCTGGGGCCTATTCTCGGAATGGGGTTTATGAGGAAGCTATGGCCTTGTTTAATGAAATGCAGAAGGAAGGAAAACGTCCAAATAAATTTGTTCTTCCCAGTATCTTGAAAGCCTGTGGACATCTCTCTGATCAAAGAACTGGAGAGACATTGCATGCTGTGGTTCTGAGAAATGAGTTCGAGTTTGATGCATATGTGGTTAGTGCACTAATCGATATGTACTCGAAATGTGGGAAAGTTGAAAAGGCGAAAAGGGTGTTCGATGGCATGGTCAAGAAAGATTTGGTGGCCCTGAATGCTATGGTCTCAGGGTTTGTTCAGCATAAGTCTGAAAGAGAAGCTCTGAGTTTGATTCAGGAAATGAAGCCACTAGGCTTGAAGCCTGACGTGGTGACATATAATACATTGATTGCGGGATTTTCACAGGCAGATGACAGGACTATGGTGTCCAAAATTTTCAGATTTATGCGTGATGAAGGGGTAGAGCCTGATGTAGTATCTTGGACTTCTGTCGTTTCTGGTCTTGTGCAGAATTTCCACAACAATGAAGCTTTCGATACTTTTAAACAGATGTTGAATGTCGGGTTGTGTCCAAGCTCTGCTACAATTAGTAGTTTGTTGCCTGCTTGTTCAACATTGGCAGATTTGGTGTGTGGGAAGGAGATACATGGTTATGCAGTAGCCATGGGAATTGAAAAAGATGTGTTTGTAAGGAGTGCTCTCATAGATATGTATGCAAAATGTGGGTTTATATATGAAGCGAGGAAATTATTCTATAACATGGCTGAGAGGAACACCGCTACCTGGAATTCAATGATTTTTGGGTATGCAAATCATGGATATTGCAATGAAGCTATTGAACTTTTTGACAAAATGGCGAGAGAGGAGGAGAGAAAACTGGACCACTTGACTTTCACCGCGGCTCTCACTGCTTGTAGTCATGCCGGGATGGTCGAGTATGGAGAAAGTATTTTCACGATGATGCAGGAAAAATATGGAATCGAACCGAGGTTAGAGCATTATGCCTGTATGGTGGATCTGCTAGGAAGAGCGGGGAAGCTCAACAAGGCCTATGATTTTGTTCTAAATATGCCAATTGAGCCGGATTTGTTTGTGTGGGGAGCATTGCTAGGGGCATGCAGGCAGCATGGAAACGTGGATCTAGCAGAGGTAGCAGCTAAAGAATTGGCTAAACTCGAGCCCGATAGTGCAGGAAGTGGCGTGTTGTTATCAAGTTTATATGCTGATGCTAGTAGATGGGGAAACGTCGCCAAGATGAAAATGTCGATAAAGAAGAGGAAGCTGAAAAAGTTTCCCGGCTGTAGTTGGGTAGAAATTGCATAATCTGCACCATGGTTGCATCACATGTGAACTATTTTTAGCAGCAATTGAGGTGGCAGTAATTAAGAATGCTATTATGTCTGTTAATTGAAGCATGTGCTCCATCTCAACTAAAAATCTAAGCTGATAGTTGGATTGCACATTAATGGCTATATGTTCAACACTGTTAGTCTAGGTAGCATTCGGTCCAGAAATTAGTACTCCTACGTTTTATACATCTGCAGATGGTGTCTTCTACTTATTTTGATTTTGCTGAATTGATCACTGCAAGTTAGTATTGGGATACAAGATCAAGTCTTGCATAAAGCACACTGAAATGAAGAAATATACATAATACACTAACGAGAGGGTACATTGAAGCCCACAGCCGCTACTGGGAAGATACGCTGTGAGTCACTTGTCACCTTAATTTACAAAGAATTACAATGAGGTAAATTAGCCTAAGTTGCTCAAAGCTGACCAATTCAAATCAAGAAAGTCAATAGACAGTTCCTACAAGGAGTCAAATTTAGAATCTTTTAATTACTAAGTTAATTCTTCCAAAAGGCTGAACCCCAACTCTAAGGGCCCCCCACACCCCGACCCGATAGAGCATTTAAGAGGATGTAAATCATGGTAACTCAACTGAACATGAAAAATTACCAAGTTAATTGTCTGACCAATTTGATTACCAAGCTCAAAACATTGTGAGGCGCTTCATACACGATAAAAATTTAAAAATTAAATGGTTACACACAAATATATTTATTAAGACCGACTAATGTAGTCCTGTCACGTCAAGTAATAAATATCTTTCATAATTTATTAAAAAGTAGATTAAACAATGAGAAATAGTCCAAGATTAGGAGAGGTATTTGGTAGCTAGCATGAAATTGAGGGAGTTGTGGGATGCTTTTCACGCATGTTGCACAACATATGCTCCCAAAGTCTCAAATGCAATCAAAGGCCTTATTGCATACTAACAACAATAATAATAATAATAGTTGCCCTTTGAGAGTGGGCATGGAACGTAACATCCATCTCTCCTTTCTCATCTGTCGGCCACAACACAACATATGTACACCTTGGACATCATTGTAAGCCAGCTTTGAGGATACTATCTATACTATGCAAAGGTGAAGAGAAAGAAAGAAAGAAAGAAAAACAAAAACAAAAACATGGGACCATCATGATTAATGATGCTCTCTTTCCTTGGTCTCCTATGGCTGCTCACTGCTGACCGGCTGACCCCCCTCTTGCTCCATCACTAATTACCATGCCACTTAATTGCTTAATCTTGGGAATTAATTGCATATTATTGCTTAATTAACCATTCTTCTTATGCTTATACTTCTACAATTTTAGCAATAATTAGACATTAAATGCCTCCATCAATATATGCCTTACTCTACGTACATATTGTTTCAAGTTTGACTTTATTTATTTTAGATAATAAAAAAATTCACAATTAATATCTGAGAGTTATGGCAAGTAAATCTTAGTACATTCTAATAACCTGCAAACCACACAGTACGTAATTACGTATAGTAGAGGTAAATCACACTAAGAAGATCTTGTGTGACGAGTTCGACCAAGAGAGTGTTGACAATAATCATACTTGTGACCTTTAGGTACTTTTACTTCATTTGTTTAGGTATTTTTATTTTTTATTTTGAAGATTTAAGTGGTATTCTTAGTTGCTCATTCAAAAAAAAAAAAGAAAAAATGGACTACAATTTTTATTCGTTTCTTTCTCTTTTATCAATAACATAGGACGGGAGTTTTACTTTCTGAAATTCATGTTTTTTTTCCCATTATTTTGTGCGATAATATGTTGTGAGAATTGCAGCTCGAATGGCCAAGACCAAAATTAAATTGGTTAGTCTCAGCTCATTTGGTGAGATATAAACAAAAAAAAATTGGTAAATTTGAATGGTTTTTATTTTAGCATGCTTTTAAAACAAGTCAATGAGAGATTATGAGCTAGGTAATAATGATTTATGCGGACTATAAATTTAACTTAATCAAAATTATTATTATTTTTACTTAATATCATACTTTATTTGTTTAATAATTAATACAAATTGTCAAAATTTAATAGCAGGTGAAACACAGATTGACCATTTAAATAACTCCTATTTTAGCTATATATTTTCTTCTCTAACTAAATATAACTCATAATCAATTTAGATTAATTATTTTTTAAAAAAAAAACTTTTAAAATTCTATAATTTTTTTTGAAAAGTTAAAATTCTATAATTTGAATACCGGCTTGTATAGTACTTTCATTATCTCGAAAAGATTATCTAAAATGCATTTTTATTGGTGAATAAAGTTTATTTTGACTAATGTTGGGGAAAAAATATTTTTTTAAATTGTAAATTATATTATTTAATTAGTTTTTTTTTTTTTTGAAAGCTACTGGCTCTATTACATTGTAGTATCTGTTCGCCTCCACTGAGGCTTGAACTCATAATCTTCCAAATGAAAGTCCAACCCGAATACCATTAAACCACATAGTCCTGGTATATTATTTAATAAGTTAACAATTAAGAATTAAAATATACAGTAACAAATAAGAGAAATTAATGGGGAGTAACAGTGTGGAATCCATAAACGGCGACTGAATTGGGTCATGTTTTTAAACTCGGCGTTCCCAGTTTGCCTTAACGGTTCGTCATCTGGTCAACGTCTTCCAGCCCGCGTGTCACCAGCCGGCTTTGCCTCCAAAAATGCAAGCTGTCAAAACTACCGCGTCTAACGCCGTTAGATTTCCGTTGCCACTTGCAGCAGAATAGTACTACTACCTGATGGACAAATGATTTCGTCACTATAAGCCCTCGAAGTACACATTATTTACCCCTACACATTTATTTTCACCCCATTTTTAGATTTTTCATTGCAGCAAAATGTTTTTAAAATTCTCTACATATTACCTTTTAAATGTTTTTAATTCTCTGCTAACAGTGCCGCTTACGTTGTGGCTAGGGAGGCCTATCCAGGGACAGGTTATGGGGAGTGATTTGATAACCCACCTTCATTTTTTGTAAGCACTTTGATTCAAGATTTAATGCATTAAGTTGTTTGCTTCAAAAAACATTACCTTTAAAAAAAAAAATTCATAAAATATAGATCAATAAGAGAGTTTTTTGCATAGAGTACAATTACATGTGATTTTATAGGAACAAAAGTGAACAATATTATTAGAATGTTTGACTTTCTCATTACTTTGTATGCTCACATTAAAATGTTATGACAATTATATTATATTTTCTCTGTTATATTTTACATGTTATGTTTAATATTCACTAATAAAAAAATTATTTCTTCTTCACTTATTTTTTGTAAGGACTATGCTAGAGACATCTAAAATTAACGCTTCCTAGCATGTCATATTTTTATTAGATACGTAGATTTATTATTAATCCAGGATGTGACTAGTCAAGTAATTCATGAAAATAAATATTTTTTTAGGAACGACTAATAAGGAGTAGTAATGATAAAGGTAAGAAGCATTTCCTTTATTAGTAATTTTTAAATTTAATTTTTATTGTGAATTGAGATGTTTTCTTGCACAAAATGAAAAAAAAGACAATAATATATGAGAGAAAGAGATTGTACTACTATTTAGACTATCTACCATAATGAGTCAATGACCTTGTGGTCTAGTGGCACGAAATAACTCTTTTAAATGAGATGGCATGAGTTTGAGCCTGGGTGGGGGCGATATTAACTCCAAAATTACCCCAAAGGTAGACTCCTAAACTTTACCCCAAAGATCAATTAGCCCCCTAAACTTTACAAAAATGTCAAATTGGATCAATGAAGCCCAAAAACCGATAATAAATGACATTTTATTACAGGTCATTTCAATTCCGGCGACCAGCAAAAAAATCCGGTCATCTTCCACTGAAGAAGACGATCGGACGGCCGCCTTCTCCAATGGAGAAGAACGGCAGGTCATTTCAATTCCGGCGACCAGCAAAAAAATCCGGTCATCTTCCACTGAAGAAGACGATCGGACGGCCGCCTTCTCCAATGGAGAAGAACGGCGATCTGTCCGTCTTCTCCCGATGACCGGATTTTGTCGCTGGTGACAAGATTTTTTCATCGGTGGTCGGAATTTCTCGCCAGTGGCCGGAATCTGTCGCCAGAATTAAAATGATCTGTAATAACATGTCATTTATCAATTGTTGGGCTTCATTGACCCAATTTGAGATGTTTGAGGGTTTAATTGCACTTTTGTAAAGTTTAGAGGGCTAATTCACCTTTGAGGTAAATTTTAGGGGCATATTTGACCATTTTCTCAAGTTTAAAAGATATCTATTTATAATCACTTTATGGGGATCAAACATATAACATTTTATTTGAGAGAGTCACTTCATGCCACTAGACTACAAGGTTATTGGCGGTATATATTAATGTTAAACCAAAAAAAAAGTCAAGTTAAATGTCATTAATGGAACCAAATATCTAAAATGGGATGGAGGAAATAGTTATTTTATACAGTATCTATTAATAATCTCTTGTAAATTGATGGATTTTATTACTAATTGTAAAATGAGAAGAATTTGGTCAAAAAAATCTTTGTGATTTCACATTAAAAAAAAAAAAAAAAGGCAAAATATCATACTGGGAGATATAAATAAAGTAATAAAAACTCATTTATTGGCTTAATTTGGGAAAAAAAGTGAAAAAGGAAAAAGAGTAATTGAACCTAATACTAAATTGTCAAAAATGGAATGAAAATTACGTTTGTTTACAATATACTAAGAACGCGTGGACCACACGCCATCAGAAGCGAACGCTCCATCGGCATTATTATGGCCCACGCGTCTTCGTCTTTATAATCCCTCTCTTCTTTTCACATGGTTCAATACCAGCTGTTTCCTCATTTTAGCTTTCAGATTCATCTCTACAGCGCCACCGTTTCTGCGTATCTGGTCATTTTTTCCGGCGAGTCAAAGCGGCTTTGTTGAGCGGTTGAGGATTAGATCTCTGTGCTGGAGAAGCCGATCGGATCGGGGTTTAGATGTCGTCGTACTGGTGTTACCGGTGTACGAGGTTCGTCAGGGTGTTGGCCGACAACAGCGTGGTGTGTCCTCACTGCGATAGTGGATTCATCGAAGCGGTGGAGTCGGCGCCGGCCTCGCCGGAAGCTCGCACGCGGTTTCCGATGTGGAGTGATAGATCCGACGCCGATCGGACTGGGAACTTAGGGCTCAGACGGAGCCGGCGCAACCGGGGGGACAGATCTCCGTTTAATCCGGTCATCGTTCTGCGTAATCCAGCGGAGGCGGGCTTGGACGAGGGCGGAAATGGGGGAGAACGGAGCTACGAGCTGTATTACGATGATGGAGAAGGGTCGGGGCTCCGGCCGCTGCCACCGACTATGTCGGAGTTTTTGATGGGGTCAGGGTTTGACCGATTGCTGGACCAGCTGGCGCAGATTGAGATAAACGGGTTTGGGCGACCCGAGAACCCGCCAGCGTCAAAGTCCGCAATCGAGTCGATGCCAACCATCCAGATCGCCTCCACCCACATAAACTCCGATTCACACTGCGCCGTTTGCAAAGAAGCCTTCGTTCTCGGCGCAGAAGCTCGCGAAATGCCGTGTAAGCACATATACCATTCCGATTGCATTATGCCATGGCTGTCTCTTCGGAACTCCTGCCCCGTCTGCCGCCACGAGCTGCCCGCAGAGTCTACTGACGATCAGAATTCCGAGCATTCCAACCACTCACGAAACGAAGAAGAAGCAATCGGCTTAACCATCTGGAGATTGCCCGGAGGAGGGTTCGCGGTGGGAAGATTTTCCGGAGGGAGAAGAGGCGCAGAAAGAGAGCTTCCAGTAGTATATACCGAAATGGATGGCGGATTTAACAATGGTGTTCCCAGAAGAATAGCTTGGAGGTCGAGGAGAAGAAACAGGCGCCGAGATGGCCATGGAATCACTCGAATTTTCACTAATTTCATGTCTATTTTCCGGAGATTCAGATCGTCTCCTCAGTCAATCTCAATAAACTCCAGTAGCTCTGACTCATCCATGTCGGAATCATCTATTTCTCGTAGTCGCAGCGTTTCAGCTTCATCAGTCTTCAGTAGATACTTGCGGAGGAGCAGCAGAAACTGGGTTCCGGAAGAGCCCAATGGAATTTCCAGATGGTAATACAAAATTTTTGGTACTAGAAAAGATGCATAACTGTAGAATGTTGCAGCCTTTTTCAATCTGTAGATAGACCAAGCAATGCTCTGGATTCTTGAAGCTGAAATTCCCAGAAAAAAAAAGTGGGCAAATCTTTCATTATTTGCTGTAATTGAACCACACACCATGAAGCTGAGTCTTCTCTAGGAGAAACCCAAGAAGGCTCACAATCACAGAAACAGCTTTTGCCATTGCTTTGAATCAATTTGTTAATTTCTTGTTCTGTAATTCTTTTCCAGAGCTGATTATAAATTATAAGAACCCATTCTATACATAGCAACAACATTGTCAATGTTTGAATCATGTGTTATGATATGATGATGCTGAATTGTGTGGATGTGACAACATTACCTGATATGGGGCAACAACTTATCTAACATGTTTAGTGTTCATTAATCTTCTGCAAAAGTGGCAAGGTTTCTTGAGGTTGCTGAAGACAGTGTCTTAGGATACCCTACCCTGCTCTTCAAAGCCTGGGATACTAAAAAAAAAAGCACTTTTTTTTGTAAAATGATGAGCTTTTGTCCTAGTATTCTTCTTTGCCATGAATGGGCATCCATGTTTTTGCCTGGGTGGATGGCACTTAATTTCAAAGATATACTGTCTTTTTGCCAAGTAAAGTTACTAACTTTAGCATGAAAGGATGTGCCTTTGGTTGAAGAATCAGGTTGCAATTCATAACTCCATTGACGCTCCGGAACAGTATGTATGTATCCTACCCTTTACTTGTCTCATCCTTTTCTCTCCTTTTTGCCAATAATTTGCTTTTCCCAACATTAATGTCCAGCACCCTATGCTCCTACTTCACCAATTTTAAGTATGTTGTGACCTTGGTTCACCAAATCTCTGCTACTCATGCATTGTTGATATCTGTGCCACTCTGCTGCCTTTTGGTTTTGGCGTCACAAATCTCTCCCCTTTCTAGATTTTTTTTTTTTTTGAAACAAATCTCTCCCCTTTCTAGATGTGTTTCCCAAAACTTTCTAAGGTGCCATCCTACCTTGCTGGGTAAATTAAGGTGACTCAGCCTCCCAATAAGTGGGAGACCAAGTGCCTGGTGCCCACAAGAAACCTAGTGCCTGGTGCCCACAAAGAGCCCAGTGTTTGGTGCTCACAAGGACCCTACCACATTGGCGTAATCACCACGCTACTACGCTGACCACCACATTGGTTACACCACCACGCTGTAGCTGCTCGTCTCGTTCTTGTGTTCCTGTCCACAATTTACCATTCAAAAATTAATTGAAATGCCTGCGTAGGTAGTAGAGCTGTCAATACGGGTTGACGGGTCAAGTCGGGCCAAAAAAAAGCCCATTCCTTGGCATGTTGCTTTTTTCGAAACCCACACCCTACCTAAGTAGGGGCGGGGCGGGCTGGCAAGCAAAGCCCGTTATGACGGCTTTAGTGGGTAGGTGTCATCCTACGCATACCATGTATAGGTATACTATACGAGTGATTGTACCAATTGTACTTGGTACAACCGTGTTGATATACATATACTTGATAGTGCAAAAAGTTATGCATAGGTATACTATACGAGTGATTGTACCAATTGTACTTGGTACAACCGTGTTGATATACATATACTTGATAGTGCAAAAAGTATCAGTGTTGATTAACATTGTAAATTTTCATGGGAAACGCATGGGAAAACAAGGAGGATATTGTAGAAGAATGATTCCTGGTAGCTTGTTCTTGTTTATGGAATATCCATGTGTTTCCTCTAGAGATGATGCTATCAAGAATGGGGGAAATTTGATCATGAGATGCTGGGAAGATTCTTCCCAGTTGCCTGCACGTTGTTGTGCCCTTTGGTTTGACTTGGTAAATTTCTTTGAAGGTTCCCATCCCAAGTAACAATGGTTGTCGAAATTGCTAGGAAAAGGAAACAAATTTGTGCATCTATTTGTTGACTTCAATTTCTATTGATCAGTTCATTGTAATCCTTGAATCAAGATGGTTGGTGTGCATAAAAATTGACTCTAGTTTTGTTCTCTTGTGCTATCATCCTTCTAGATCAAATCAACTCGGAACCTCAATTACAAGTGAATTTAGCCATGAGGATGCGTTGAGTTAGTTACAATTGTCTTATATTAACGCTCGCTGATTAAATTTAATCATGAGAAGAATTGTCGCTAGATACGCACCTCCATCATATCAAGTCTCATCCTAGCTTATAAATGCAACTTAAATGTATTAAAAATGGCTCAGAACTTTAATCAATTAGATACATAATATTTATCTGGTCCAACCCGATCAAGAACCTTTACTTTCCTTATTAAATTGTCATTTAACTTTCCTTACTTCAATTTATACTTATCTTACGGTTTATGTTGGGATGGTGAATAAATAAACAAGCTAACACGAAAATTTTGAATCAAGTACCCTAAAAGCATCCTTATCAGTGCGGAGAATGTAAGAGTGATTAGGGAAAAGGTGGGAGGGGAGAGAAAAAAAGAAAAAAAAAAGGGAAAATTGAATTTAAAAAAAAAAAAATTACTTTATGGTTGTCAGGCGCGCGCTTGAGCGTGCAGTGCACGCACCCGCTGGGCGCAATGGTGACAACCACGCATGGCTGTCACTATTGGTGTAAATATTGGTGGATCCCACCAATTCTGAATTATTCCAATCCCTTGCAAGAGAATTCTTTTTTAATTATTCCCTTCTCACACTAGCTTTGCTCCTTGTTTGGGAAGAATTCATTCTGAAAAATTTGAAATAATCCACTATAGTGGATGCTCTAAGGCATTGGCCTAGACGTGTAGTAGATAAGTTGCAAGGTGAGGTTTGATTCCTACCACAAATATTTAGGGTTTGTGTTGGGTTTTTTTTTGTGTGCACAAATGCACATTTTGGTGTGAGAAAATTTCATTATGAATTATATTTGATTCTTGACTATTAAATTTTTTTTAATTAGGTGCATAACTATGTAATTTGTATCACATTTGGTCTTGCTGTTCAATTTCTCAGCCAACTATTACCGAAAGTATTCCTTTTGGAAGGAACACTACATTTGCTTCTTTTGGAATGAGCACTTTTAGTAGTAGTTGGAAAGAAAATCAAACATAGAACCAAATGTCATACAAATTACATAGTTATGTACCTAATTAGAAAATTTTAATCATCAATAATCAAATGTGATTCATATATAATAATTAGGGGACTAGAAATAAAATTTGTTCTTTTGATATTTAATTTTGAAACTAAATTGACCCGATTTATTTTCTCTTGATGCAGGATCTTGGATTCAAGGTAGTATAATTCGGCAAAGCCAGAAACGTATGTATATATGTGTATATATCGAATCAAGCAAGAAAGTGATAAAGGGGGTGTCAGCTAACATGCAATTAATTAATGTGAAATTTGTAGTAAAGACGAATTTAAGGCCTGAGAGTACGTATAATTAGGGAAGTTAAAATATTAACAAATTATTGGAAAACGGAAATAATAATATAAAAAATAGATACGGATTTTTGTAGTGTTGTTGAGACTGAGAGTAGTGGAGAAGTGGTTGATAAAGTTAATGCCAGCTACATTATTATTATTATTATTATTATTATTATTATTATTATTATTATTACAATATTTGATTCGATGGAATTAAGGGTGTTCTGTAGTGCAATTACCTCATAATCTCATGGACAGTGTTGTGTGGTTTGATGTACAGTAGTGTGATATATGATGTTTGTTTGCTTTGCTTTTGCAATGTGATAACTGATAAGACAAACCAACCACATTATTCCCAACTGCGGGCGTATTATTCTTTTTGATTGAGTTTATTGCAATTGATTATATCACTGATTACGTCTCAATCCCCAATTAAAAATATTAATGATTAATATTACGTTTTTGCCTTTGGGGGGAGAAAAATATTAATGATTAAGATTTGTTCATCAGCATTTAAGAGTGTTACAAGCTGAGCCATTTCAAGTATTTGGCAAGCCCACTGGGTTTAATTGGTCCAAGTTTGTTAGGCATCCTTAGCAACATAACTTTAGAAGTCCATAGTTGGTGATGACAAATTATGCTGTGAAATTGTGTCTACCCTGCAAGGTGAACATGGTTCCAAAACTGTCATAATTATGAATATAGAATTCAAAAATTATGAACAAAAAGTTCTATAATTATGAACATAGAGTTCTGTAATTGTGAATATAGAGTTCAATAATTGTGAATATGAAGTTAAAAAATTATGAATATAGAGTAGAGTTCAATAATTATGAACATAAAGTTCTATAATTGTGAATATAGAGTTCAATAATTGTGAATATGAAGTTCAAAAAAAATTATGTACATAGAGTTTTATAATTATGAACATAAAATTCAGTAATTATGAACATATATAGAACTTTGTCCACACTACAATGTAATAGAGCTAGTAGCATTCAAAAAAAAAAAAAAAAAATAGAACTTTGTCCACCTTGCAAGGTGGACATGGTTACACGACATAACAATAAGTTTGTGATTATAATTTTTTGAATTCTATGGAAATCGTAATAAATAGTAGCTCTTTACACCAATTTCTCCAATTGTAGTACTATTCTTCTCCTTCCAAAAGATTGAATCCCAACTTCAAAGGCCTCTCACACCCCGACCCAACAAAGTATTTGAGAGGATATAAATCATGGTGACTCAGTGACTCATCAAACATGACCAAATGTCATTACTCTATCGAATAATCTAGCATATAATTGTAATTAGTTCTAATCTCACAAACACTTATTAAAGATTTTGCTTGATAGTTGTTAGTTGTTAACTGATTGTGTTAATTAGAAGGTATAAATAGTTGATAACATTAGCTGATTGTAGAAAAGTGTTTGGTAAATTAGCCGTTAGTTGTTAGCTGTTTGGTATAATTTATTTTCTCAAAAAGTTAATTGAAAAAGTTGTTTGGATTAACTTTTTGAATTTTAGCCTTTTGGAGTTACAAAAAGCTAATTAACCAAACATTTATATTAATATTTTAACTAAATCAAATAATTAATAGTGGTCAAATAAGCCAAAATCGACTTATAGCCCAATTTTTTTTACCAAACATGGCCAATATTAGCAGACTCATATTTCTCTATTCTCATAAACACTTACTCAAGATATTTACTATTTTCACTGCTAGCTAGATTCAAGAATATATATATATATATATATATATATATATATATATATATATATATATATATATATTGCATAAAAAAAGAAATTTTTTAATCAAGCAAAATAAATATCATGGCCCAAAAAAAAAAAAAATCATAAAACAAACTTAGGCCTAAAGGAAAGACAACAAATTATGCTGTGGAAGTGTGGAA